GAGTACTGCGTTGCTAGCCGTGCTATGTAGCTGCACGACTCAGTCGTCGCTTCAGTTGAAGTAACCTGAGGATCCTATGGCGATGTGCCGCTTATTTAGCCAGTGGAACCCGCCCATTCTGGCGGGCTTTATCGCCATAGGATCATGCAGCTCCACTGCCGAGCCATTGGTTCGTTTTTTTATTCACTGCACGAACCAATGGCCGTGCATTTTCTCTGCGTGATTGAAAAAAGGCTTTAGTTCAGGAGAAAAAAGGCTTTTCCATAGCGTCTTAGCAGACGCAGTACTCATTCCCGTATCTCAGGGAACCGAGGTTACATCAGTAACCGAGTACGTTTCTGTACATTCTCAGATGGCAAACATTTAAAAAACATTGTTAGGATTTTTTTTGGTCACATGGGCTACATTCACATAGCTGCAGAATGTGGTTATAATTCAAAAGTTTGAATTTTTAAAAATGTTTTTAAAAGTATTTTGCTAACCAAGGCTGCATTTATTTATTCATTATTAATTTTCTATTTAATTTAAATTTAATATAATTTAAAATGTACTCCAGTCTTCAGTGTCACATGATCCTTCAAATTCATTCTAATATGCTGATTTGGAGCTTAAAAAATTTTATTATAAAAAAATGTATTATTATATTATTATTATCAAGGTTAACAGTTGTGCTGCTTAATATTTTTCTGGAAATCGTGATTTTTTAGCATTCTTTGATGAATAGAAAGTACAAAATAACAGTGTTTATTTGAAATAGAAATCTTTTGTAACATAGTTTTAGTCACTTTCAATCATTTTAACGCATCCTTGGTGAATAAAACTATGAATTTCTTTTCATAAAAAAACATACTGCCCCAACTTTAGAATTGTGGAATATCTTTTTTTTTTTTAAAGCTGCATTATATGTAACTTTTTTTATTTATTAATTTATTTTACATTAAAAATGATCCAAAATCAATTACTGAGCAAGTACATAACCAATCATTGTTCAAAATCATTGTTCCTTACTTTAGCCCGATTCACAACGGTAAGCTTGTAATAATGTTTTATCATTTGAGTGGTTCGCGTGGTTCGTTTTTGCATTATTAAGTCACGTCTGTATACATAAAGAATGAGTCACGGCTAGTAGGCTATATCGCGTTTGTGGATTCTGCAGGTGGCAGATCATTTATAGCCTCTTCTTACAGCAGATGGAATAATTAAATTGTCATAAATAGAGTTATGGTAATGAAACTCATGTAAGTGACTGAAATTACATTATATTCCAGTTTTAATTGTGCATCTGATTACAGATACGTGGGATTACTGTACTTACAAAAGATTTGTATTTCAAATAGAATGAGTTCAAAAGAACAGGTTAAAAGAACAATTTCTTTAGATGAAATTCGAATGGTATGACAATTAGAGATAGACTACAGAAATTTACTGTAAATCCACAGATAACGCCAATACACACTAAATACACATAGTCCTGCAATGTTGATGTTGTTAACATTAACAATTTGAGAACAAAGTATAACAATAATAATAATTAGCATGTTTTGATGTGATCTGAGCAAACTTTGCAATCGTTAGATTTAATCACCATTGATAGTGCGATTTATTATCTTTTTTTTTTAGTTGGTCAGAACAAAACTGGCAGACATGTTACTTCAGATGAGATTTTCTGGTTAAACTTCTTATTTTGGACATACTTCCAAGACATAGTATCTGTAATTACGAAGTACAGTGAATATCCACACTGGTGTTGACTGACAGCCGCACATACACCTAGGGCTGGACGATATGGCCAAAATTGATACCACGATATATTTCTTAATTTCGGTCGATACGATATAATTCCGATATCGATATGAACACTATTTATCTGAAATAGAAATCTTTTGTAACATTATAAATGCCTTTATCAACACTTTTGATCAATTTTAAGCATCCTTGCTAAATAAAAGTATTAATTTCTATAATTTCTTTCCCAAAAAAATAATAAAAATTATACTGAATGGAATAGTGTATAATGATACAAAAGCTTTTTATTTCAGATAAATGCTGATCTTTGGATCTTTCTATTCATCAAAGAATCCTGAAAAAAAAATGTACTCAACTGTTTTAAATATTGATAATCAGCAAATCATCTGAAGACAGTCAGTTCCCTTCAGAGATACATTCATATAAAACACCCGCGCCGTGTTATGAATTTGAAACGTGCAGTGCTCATGTTTATTCAACGAAGTCAAACGGCACAAATAAAAATGTATGGGAAACTGGTAATGTATATCGAAATATCGGAAATGTGTTTAAAAAGCATATCACCGTTATTGAAAAAAATTATATCGCGATACATATTGATATTGAATTATTGTCCAGCCCTACATACACCTCAAAACATTAGATTCATCCGCGCTGAGGAGCCGTGCCGATGCTCAACCCATGTAAAGATGATAATTCCACAAATAACTGCAATTGCAGGTTTCAAACAGAGATCAAGGCTTTTATTCACTGACTGTGTGAATGAATGTAGCCAAAAAGGTCCCACAAGAGTTCTGTTATATCATTTTTCGTCATGTCATTGTATGTTAGAATCGTATAGTAGTAGTACATGAGCATTCAGTCAACTTCCTTTCGAAATCTGTAGTGAATGGTGATTTAAGGAAGATCTATGTGGCGAGATGAGATCTTCACTCTAACTAAATCAAAAAATAAAATTACCCCGTGTTTCCACCCTGAGGAACATTTGATTTTATTCATGAGTCATTTGTTCCTCTGAGGATGTCAGAGGGGAGATTTTGTCCGTTTTAGCTACACAAACCTACAAACAGTATGAATTCTTGTTCCCTTGTTTCTCAGGGATGCACACAAGCGGGGGGAATTCTAACGGGGCACCCTGTGAGTTCCCCTTTCTCTACAATGGGACCTGGCACCACAGCTGTCTGCCTGGCACTGAAGACAAGACGCTGGACTGGTGCTCCACCACAGCAAACTATGATCTACAGAAGAAGTGGGGGAATTGCCTGAAGTATGGTAAGGTTTACTTCCCTCAACCTCTGCTGGGGTTTTCCCAGAGCAGCTAGAAAGACAAAGTACATGTGACTCATTTTACAAAACACTGAGACATTAAACTATTGACTATAAGATGCTAATTAGCATATAACAATGCTAATGAATGTAATTAATATAATATAGGGATAGACTTATTTTCAAATTGAAAGTTGAAGTTGTTTCATTTACAATTACAATTATTTCTTTTTATTAAAAGAAAAACAATGTATGCAGGAAACAAATATATTTATTTATTTAAGCATACACTTTTTAAATTAGGAAATTAATAAATTAAATAACTTTAAACTTTCAATTTGAAAAAAAAAATATTTAAATAAATATATTTATACATTATTCATTATTTATTTATTTATTATCTATTTATGGCTTATTAAGAACACATTTTATTATGAAATTAATAAATGAAATAACTTTCAATTCAAAAATTTTTTTAAAGGGGTTGTGAACTGCATTATCTTGTAATGTTTCCTGAGGTGCACTTATAATGTTAGTATCATTTTTACATAAAAAAATGTCAAAATGAATAAAAATAAAAGACATGTAAAAAAAAATCTAAGAAAATTTGATTTCTCAATTCATGACCCCTTTAAATAATTTATTTATATTTCTGCGCACATCTTTTTATGTATGAACTCTTCTTATCTAAATAAATAAATACAACAAATATTTATTTTCTGAACACATTGTCTTTTTTATCTACAAACACTTTTTGTTTATTCAGAAATGATTTAAATGTAACAAATTTCGATTTAAATAAATACTGTAAATAAATACCGTAAGAGATATGGGTTTTATAAAATGCTTTTTCTGTGAGAAATGATGCCACAGATGTGTCACATTTGAGCAGAACACTTTAGTCAACCATTTCCCATCAAACGCCATACTGACCTAGGTTTTAACCTGCTAGGTTTTAAGTAGAACTCATGCTGGTTTAAGCTGCCCTTTTTACTCTGTTGTCTTCTCGCAAAGCCATTTTAACTATGTTGCACATTCCTTTAATATGATTTCTTATACGTTCTGAAGAAACATGGAAAAGATTGCGACTCTTCAAAGGTCAGAGACAGAATGAAAGAATCACATATGGGTAGGAGTCAAACAGATGGAGGTTTGTATAATGAAAGAATTGTAACTAACCTCCTACCGGTTTTCTTTTATTTAGTGGAAGGATGCATTAATTTATGGGAGAAAGCCCCAGTGAAAGGACGCTGCTATCAGGTCGTCTCCACAGCGGTGGTGACCTGGCACGAGGCGCGGGATGCCTGTCGTAGTCAAGGCGGAGATCTGCTCAGCGTGTCTAGCCCTCAAGAGCTTGAGTTCTGTAAGACTAATTTCTCATTTTCACTTTTGGACTTTGATCTTGTTGTGTTATGGGTTTGGGGGGGAGGTTAGGGGTAGAGTGGGGTATGAGTGGTTATGAACGAATAAATAAAACGCATTTGTCCGTGTTTCACTCCGTCTCGAATCGCACTCGCGGAAAGCGCTTGAGAAACAGTGTCTCTTCTGCGGTTATTTTTGTCTCGAGCAAGACTGTACGACATTCACATTACATGATTTGACTGATTTTTACGTAGAAAGGGCGACAGCGCACCGCATTAAAATAAATTATCATTCATGTTTTCATAACCGCTGGCCAAATTCATTAAACGAAACTAAAATTAAATCATCTTTGAGAGCAAGGAGGCCCCCTGCTGTTTCGGGGGCCCCTACGCAGCTTGCGTATTTTGTGTATAGGGAGGATCGGCTCTGTGTTATATATAGAGTACGGTTCAGAAGTTTGAGGTTTGTTTTTTTGAGTCTCTTATGCTCACCGAGTCTGTTTTTTAAGCAAAAAATACAATACAAAATATTATGAAAATTATGCTATTAGTATTATTAGAAGTATTTAAAAATAGTTTAAATATTATTACAATAAATATATTTTAAAATATAATTTATTTTTGAATTTTCAGCATCATTACTCCAGTCTTCTGTGTCACATGATCCTTTCAGAAATAATTCTAATATGCTGATTTGCTGCTCAGGAATGTATTTGAATAACTTTCTTAATAATTTTTGAGGAGACCATGATAATTTTTATCATATTTTATGATAAATTGACAGTTTATTTACTGATTGAATGCATTTATTTGACATATTTTTTGATAACAGTTTAAGTCTTTACTGTCAGTTTTGATGAATTCTCTCTCTGCGTAGTCACATTTTCAGTATCCAGATATCCATTAGAGATCTTGCCTATCCATTAGCATCAACCCCAGCTGGACAATTATTAATTCATGCACATTTGAGTTGTAAAACTACTTATGCATCTCCATCCATATTCTTCAAATGCTGTCGCCCATTCCATGTTAATGTGGACTGACAACTCTAAGTGGGCCATTAGTAGGTTGGCTTTGTTGAAAATTCCCTGACTTCATACCACTTTCCAACCATTGCTCCATGACTGAATTAAGGCGGGCATACACGGTGCGATTCTGAAGGTCGGAACGTCGTGAGCTCTGGCACATGTCACGATTGCGTGTATCCGAAAGTCGTACGGAGGCAGTCACACACGATACGAATTTACTGCGATTTTACAATTTTAAACCGACAGCATCCGATTTTTTTTGACATGTTTGAAAATTATCGGGAGGACGGGAGGTGCTCGTAACGTCTCGGATCGGCCCGTAATTCTTCTCACACTGTACGAGCCGCAACCATGCGAGCATCTGTGATTTTCTCCAGAGAGAAAAAAATCGCCTGCGAGCTCGTACGACAGCAAAAATCGCACCGTGTATGCCCGCCTTTAGCAACACTGGCTCAGCTAATAGCATAAGTTCAGGGGTGGGGCTATTTGTTTGTCTGACCAATAGCAGCTGGTGGGAGTGTTAGAGAAACCTGTTTGAAAACACTTATTATTTTTGGTGCAAAATGACACACTTCAGCTTTAATTCACGATGACCTTGTAGTTAAGTTTGTATTTTTACTTTGTTTATTATTCATTGTTTATCTCCTTCCCCCTGCAGTTAAAAATCAGAAAGACTTGCCAAGCAAGCTGTGGATCGGCTTGAACCATCTGGACTGGATGCAGGGTTGGCAGTGGTCAGATGGATCAGCTTTATATTTTGCCCCTTGGGAAACAGGTGATTTTAACCGAAAAATGTATTATAAAGAATCCTGTAGTAGATTACTGTTCTTTTATGTTTTAAAGGGATAGTTCAACCGCATGTTGTTCTGGTAAACATATGGAAGAGGTGGAATCTCTGACATAATATTTTCCTTTTGAAAGGTTTTTTCCTTTCCAACCCACTGTGTCACCGTCTGTTGTGCCCTACATCTACAGTACATTATATGTATGGCGTGATGGTTATTCAGATCAAGGAAGACCAGTTCTTTTATCTTATCTTCTCTTCTCTTATCTTGGTACAAGAGTACTGTGCAGCCACTGACAATGACCTTTCTGTCGCTTTTAATGTGGCAGTGTGACTGTGGGCATACAAGGATAGTTGTTTTGCTAGAAGAACAAAATGATGATTTGAACGGCGTATTTATGCAGTAGACACAGGCAGAATCTGTCTCTGTGATGACAGCATTGTCAGCTGTGATGATGTGGGTGGTTTGTCTCTCCTCACCCCATGTGTGTGCTGTCAATACAATGAACTGTGTCTATAAACACTTTGGAGAAGTCTTGGAGAAGTTACTACAATAACGTAATCTAATAAAATTGAAATAAAATTCATAATAAAACATAACCACGATGAAACCGTTTGCATATAGTGTTACGTTTGTGTGTCACGCGGCATGTTTGTTAGGCATCCCAATCAGATCCCTTATGTCAGACGAGGACTGTGGAGTTCTGAAGGAGCCGCTGTGTTTCGGCGCAGAGACGTGTGAAAATCGGCTTCCCTTCATCTGCATGAAGAATGACAAAGACAGTGCGAGTACAGGTCAGATACTGCCCTCTTGTTCCGTTTTCCTTCTTTTTTTCCTCACTTTCACAGCACAGTCTCTCTCCCTCTCCTTTCAGCAGTCAGGGAGGTATATAAGCCCACGGCGTGTAAAGATGGGTGGATTGGGTGGAAAGGATTCTGTTATAAACTCCACAGTAGAACAGAGTCAAAACTGTCCCAGCATGAAGCTCTGAGCATGTGTCGGATGGATGACTCTGAGCTTGCCAGCATGCACAGTTTAGAGGATATTGAAATGCTGCACACAAATTTTCACTCAGGTAAACACATCTCACCGCACACGGGTATCAACAACACATGTTCTGAGAAAGCAAGCCGATTGTAAAGTCATCACTGTGTTTAATGTTAATCTCTAAGCTGTCTTGTTTTTTATGTAGATAGCATGACAAAGCTTGTAAATAAAGAAATAATTGTAATTTTTGTGTTTTCCTTTTTTTTTTTTTTTTCTCTGGATAGCATATTTTGTAGAATACGTATCTGTAAACTCATCACAGATTTAATGTTTTTCAAAATGCATGGGAAATGCAAAAACTGAACTAAATAATTTTTCTTATTTAAGTGTGATTATTTTGACCTGCATTACTCCTCTGTAATATACTGTATGTATGTGTGTTTGTATGTATGTATGTACATACATACATAAAATATTTATTATATAGAAAATATTCATTTTATGTCATTTTTTGTTGTATATATGTTGTTTTATGACTTTATATGTGACAGACCTGAAGACAGAGGTATGGATTGGTCTTTTGGGTGATGGAAACACCTCAGTTTTTGAATGGGTCGATAAAGTACCAGTTTCTTTCACATACTGGGCCAGAGCTCAACCTCCACCACTTCTACCAAATACCATCCACTGCGTGTACTATTCAGGAGAGGTGTGTGTGTGTGTGTTTCGTCATGTCAGATTATATCACATAAATAAGAGCGCTGTTCTGAATATTAGCTCGGCTCTAATTTCTCTATGTGTGTTTGCAGCATCATACATGGTCTGTGTCTGATTGTGAAAAGCCGAGGGCTTACATGTGTAAGTCGAATGGGAGTGTGAATGAGAGCGCCCCAGAGGAAGGCTGCCCTTCAGACAGGGTGAGTGACCATCACTATGGAACAATTCACTCCAACTCCATGGATATACATCATGTTTGTGCTTCATGTTGTTGTTATTGCCGCCTATGTGAATCTGATTCATGAATAAGCAGACATCTGTTTTTTTCTTCTCTCTAGAATTGGAAGAGACATGGCAATATATTTATTATATAGAAAATATTCATTTTATGTCATTTTTTGTTGTATATATGTATCAGGGTTTCTGTGGGTCTTAAAAAGTTTTTTTGTTTGCCTTTTTATAATTTAAGGCCTTAAAAGGTCTTAAATCAGAGCAGAAATCTTAAAGTCATGGCATTAAATGTTGCATGCACTGCTAAAAAATCTGTATTTTCCTCAATATTTTTGTTTTCTGATGCAAATATTTAAGCATTCTTATATCACTTGAGATCTTGTAATTGAACTAAATTAAACAAATGCATGCATAAATAAAAACAAGTATCTGTCAGTGGGATTTATTATGTTACACATTATATAATTTATAATTATAATTTATGTATATTATTTGTTTTTATTATATATATATATAT